AAAGGTAATGGAGATCTGACTTTTGACATACAAAGAAATCAACTTACAAACAGCCTCTCGGTCCCCATTATGTTCTTAAGTTGGGGACTTACTGTATATATATATGTATATATATATATATATATATATATATATATATATATATATATATATATATATATATATATATATATATATGTATATATATATATATACCGATACTGTATATTATATGATATATATATAAATAAAATATATATTTATATTATATATATATAATACATACATTATTTGTATTATATAATATATATAGAGTTATATATAACCACATATAAATATGTACATTCATATACAATATATAAATAAATGAATGAATATATATCTGTTTACATATATACATATAATATATACATATTATATGTATGTATATTATATATATTTATTTATATATCTATATTATATATATTTATATATATGTATATTTTATATATATATATATATATATATATATATATATATATATATATATATATACATATATTATATATTATATAAATAAAGTTATACAATATATATCTATATCTATATCTATATATATATATATATATATATATATATATATATATATATATATATATATATATATATATATATATATATACATATATACATACACATACGTATGTAATATATGTATATATACATACTTATGTATAGACATATATATTAATGTATATATCATATATGTTTATCATATATAATGTATAGATATATATTATATATATATATATATATACATATATATATATATATATATATATATATATATATATATATATATATATATATATATATATATATACTATATATATATACATATATATATACATATATATATACATATATATATATATATATATATATATATATATATATATATATATATATATATATATATATATATATATATTTATGACTGTATATGTGTGTATATGTCTATCTATCCATTCATATATTATATATATACATTATTTGTATATATATATATATATATATATATATGTATATGTATGTGTATATATATATATATATATATATATATATATATATATATATATATATATATATATTATTATATATCTATATATTATCATTTCGTATCCATAGAGCAAACCTGACAGTATCAAGGCTTTGAAGACACATAGCTTGGTCCTTCTGCATAGCTACCAACATCTCCAATGCTCTAATTGAATGAATTTTTGGCCTCTGCTGCCAGATCATTCCATTTACTGACTTCTTGGTCTGACAGCCCAAAGACATAGGGTACAGTACCAATATATACAAAACTCTCTGTGACTTCAACTTCAAATTGGACCTCTAGGCCCAAGGACTTTGTCTCATAGCTAAATGCATCAAGAGCTGCCACCAACAATTCCAGAGACTCTGATAGGATTGGAACATCATCGGCAAAGTCAAGGTCTGAGACCTTGATATTGCCCAGTGTTGCTCCGCACTGACCTTGGATAGTAGGTCTGCCCATTATCTAGTCCATGCAGGTGTTGAAAAGTGTTGGTTCAAGGACACAGCCTTGCCTCACCCCAGAATTTACAGGGAAGTTTGACAGGCCCCCAACACTCTTTCAGTACCAGTGCTAGGATACAGTCTATTGTGGACTTTCCAGGAGTGAATCCAGACTGCTCCGGCCTCTAGTTCCTTAGTAGGTGGTCATGGATCTATTTCAAAAGAATGTGGATGAAAACCTTGCCTGCTACACTGAGCAATGTGATACCACAGTAGTTGCTACATTCCCAACAATTCTCTTTCCCCTTCCAGAGAAGGATGACCATGTCCCTCAACAGGTCAGGGTGAATGGAACCAAACTACCAGATGTCAGTCAAGACTGAGTGCAAGAACTGTGCCATAGGTTCACCCTCAGCCTTTAGCAGTTCAGCAGGGATATCACATATGCCTGCAGCTTTCCCACTCTCCGGCTTAGAAATCACCATCCTAACCTCAGTTAGGGTAGGAGTTTCCTCACTGATTTGTGGATCCGGCTCAGGTATTGCAATACTTGCAAACAAGCTAACTGTCGGAGGGTCTACCTAGTTCAACTGCTCAAAGTGCTCAGCCCAACATTCACAAACCCCAACATGATCTGAGATGACCACAGCCACAGTGTGACCAGTAGTAGGTGTACCCACTCATAGTGACTGTGCTGCTACCAGGTCTTCTCACCTCCGAGAAGGCAGCCACCTCCAATCCCACCCGCTCCAATGCTCTGATAGTAGAGGTAACCTCTCGTCCTGCTCCAAGGAACGGATGTTCCAAGCGCCTACCTGGATATCTCACCTGAGGTTAAGCCTCGGACGGTCACTCCAGATGGGGCCACCTCTGCCATCCTTGGCAACACTGCCCCAAATAAAGGGGGTCAGCAGGTTAGTGGGGTCCAATGTCTGCCTGTTGGGTTTCCTTGGGCTTTGCCACACAGGCCTTATACAGGGTTGGTGCCAATATATATGTATGTGTATATGTATATATATATATATATATATATATATATATAATACCTATATAACAACATATATAAAGTACATATAGAATATAATATATATATAGAATATATATAAACTATATTATATAATATATACATATATATACAATATACATATAATATTTAATAGATATTATATATATATATATAATATATAATATATAATATATATAAATAATATATAATATATGTATATAATACATATAAATAATATATAATATATGTATATAATACATATAAATAATATATAATATATGTATATAATACATATAAATAATATATAATATATATAATATATATATGTATATTTCACAGTATATATATATATATATATATATATATATATATATATATATATATATATATATATATATATATATATATATATATATATATATATTTATATATATATATATATATATATATATATATATATATATATATATATATATATATATATATGTGTATATGTATCTATATCTATATCTATCTATATATATATATATATATGTTTATGTATATACATAGACATAAATATGTACAATCATACATGCATACATATTTAAACATTTGTCAATGACTACTTAAATCTAAGATCAATATTTGTTACCTTTTGTCCTTACAGTTAACTATATCATATTATACCTTTGTCCCGTTTTTGCTGTTCCCTGTGATGCAGGTGCACCAGTCCACCACAGGCAACTTGAGTGGCCAACTACCCACAAATAACAAATACCAAGGCATACTTTTGCAGTATCTGGGATGGACTCCCAACAGTAATGAAGTTTAAACAGTTATTGTTATTGCAGATAATAAACCAGTATTAATAGTATTAGCAATGGATGATCAAGTAATGATTATAGTTGTACAATAGATAACCACTCTAAAGTAATAGTAGTATTAATATAATAAGGAACTACAGCAAGTAAAAGTAAAATAATCGTAGCTAATAGTAACGCAAATGAAATCCCTGTAATTAACCCCCATGTCTGGCTGTATCTTCAGATGATTATGTGACATGAAATCCACCCTTGGAATGGAATTATTTTATTGAAATTAAACACAGATGAGGAATCTATAATTTGATGTTTATCATTCTGCATGTTGTTGCAACACACAACCCAATATGCTGAAAAAGAATGCAGAGTTCCTCCCACCCCCTTTTGTCATACCAGGCATGAATTCACAACCATCTTAATGACAATGCTTTTATGTCTTGCTTCTTCTGTTTATTCTTGCTTATTATTTACTCACTTTATAGCAATATCCTTTTTCAGTAATATCCCTACAAAACTAAATCATGAAAGCTTTCCTGACTAACAGATAAGGTGAAAAAACAATCTTTCTAGAAGCAGGTTACTTTTTATTCTCATATTTCTGCACTGGAAATAAAACAAAAAAGAAAAAGAAAAAAATGCAAGTAATCCTTAGAATTCACATGACTAAAATATACAGTAGTAACAGGAATGAGATGAAGTTAACTAATCTACATTAATTATTAATAAATAGTTCATCTAACATGTCTAAGGTATCAGCTTCATATGACATCTGACTCCTCCACACTGGTGTTCTCTATATATGCAATTCAATAATAATTTTACAAGTCTCTGTGTGGAAGTTTTATGCATATGGAGTAAAGCAAATTCAATTAAATGAAATGAGGAATCCTTTGCAGCCTTTGAAAGAGAAAAAAAATGTATATAGGTACATACATTCCAAAGCATGCAATACATACACATGAAGAGAAGCATGCAACACAATTTATGCCTATTTCACATATAACCAGGCAATTTAAGTTGCTTATTAGGAATTCAATAAAAATACAACTTCACTGATTCATTTCCTTTTTCACTTATCAAGTGATGAGTACATGTGCACACAGACATGTATTCAAGTTTTCATTTTTTACAATAACATTCAAACAACACGTGTCATCAATTTTACTCACTCACTCATTCTCACATATCTATATATTCACTCATACTCTCACACACACACTCTCACTCACTCAATTTTTCATGCACTCACTCACACATTCTCACCTACTCACTCGCATTCACTCATACACATACTATTTCACGCGCACGCACACGCACACACGCGCGCGCACACACACACACACACACACACACACACACACACACACACACACACACACACACACACACACACACACACACACACACACACACACTCACACACTCACACGCACGCACGCACCCGCACACATACCCGCACACGCACACACACCCGCACACGCACACACACCCGCACACGCACACACACCCACAAACACACACACACACACCCGCATACACACACACACACACCCGCGCACACACACACACACACACACACACACACACACACACACACACACACACACACACACACACACACACACACACACTCTCTCTCTCACACTCTCCCTCTCTCTCTCTCGCAAAAAATCAGTGCTAATACAGATAATTCAGGAGGACTTCACTTGTTTCTCTGCCTTACATTTGGTAGTACTATCATATCTGTGAGCATTTATGACTGGGAATGATATAGTTGCGCATGTATCTGATAATTGAGCTTCATAAGACTAAAAGTGTAAAGTGCAATCTAAATAATATCCAATACACACATGAGCTATAAAAAACTAAGGATTAGCCACTAGTCTACAAAGCTTACTGAAAATATGACATACTCAAAACTGAAATATATATGTAATATTCATTAGACATAGCCATATTCATTAGACACAGCCATACCCATACCACAATTGAAAAAAAAAAGTATTTTCAATCACACATTCATTTATAAAATATAACATGTGTCTTTTTGCAGATACAACCTCTATCTTTCTCTCAATATAACAATCTTGGTCACTGAAGAAACATCTCTTCCAATCCAAGATCCACAGATTAAATGTTTGCTCAGAAACTGATCAAGAGCAGAAGAAAATTCACAAGTTACTGGGTGATAATGTCACACCCTCCCCTCTCCCATGACTCCAATCATACTTAATGTCATTCAAAATTTTTGTCTCTCTCTTCCACCAAATCATGACATGTTTGCATACTGAGGTAAACACTATTTATTTCAGTCATAACCTGCTAATATCACTATAAGCACTGATACAGTACTGAAGTGAATTTCACATATCAAAGATAGATATACTTGAAAATGAATATATTAATCTAGCTATCCATATCAATTACTCCCTATTTAACATTTTTTCTGTTTACTCAGTAAAAAAAAAAAAAAAAAAAAAAAACTTTAGCAAACAATATTATTATATCAATATATTTTGGTGGTTCCCTGGTTCATAAAATTCTGAAATGGGACTACTCCTGCCCAAAGGCATCAATCAAAGATGGCTTCAATTAGCAAAGGAAATAAAAATCAACACAAAATGACAACAGAGGTATTAGTTATTCTAAAAGTAAATAACTGCAACCTGGAAACTCCATTGACAGCTGAATTTGTCTAAGTTTGATTCATCTTGGAATTATGTAATTTGTTCTGTCATATATATTTCTTAAGAACAAATAATTGCACTGTTTTTAAATAGGAAGATGAAAGTACAACAGATTGTAAACTGATAAGATAACTGAAAAACATATATGTAAATATATTGACCACATGACTACAAAAGAGGGAGGATGGATGGAGGGAAGGTGGGAGTGGGAGAGGGGGAGAGAATGAGACAGAATGAGATGAGAGAGAAAGAATGAGAGAATGAGATGAGAGAGAAAGAATGAGAGAATGAGATGAGAGAGAAAGAATGAGAGAGAGAGAGAGAGAGAAAATGAGAGTGAGTGAGTGAGTGAGGGAGTGTGAGTGTGAGAGAAAGAATGAGAGAATGAGATGAGAGAGAAAGAATGAGAGAATGAGATGAAAGAGAAAGAATGAGAGAATGAGATGAGAGAGAAAGAATGAGAGAGAGAGAGAGAGAGAAAATGAGAGTGAGTGAGTGAGTGAGTGAGTGAGGGAGTGTGAGTGTGTGTATGTGCACGCGCGTGCGTATGTGTAAGCAAAGGGGAAATAAGAGATAAATTCATATTACAAGAATATTATGTATAACACAAAGCAATTTTTAGTACAAATCCCAAGTACTGTATTGGACGGCTTATAATAATAAGAGCAGGTTAAGACTGAAACAAATTAAGTGTTTAGCTAGAGACTCCTTTATTATAATTGTATGATTTCTGATATAAAATGCAAGCACACATCAGCCTGTGAGCAAACCTCGTATCTCTCAATCTTGATGCACACTGTCATGCCTCTGTATCCTAAATAGATACATGTTTCTATCAATATATTATCTCTCCTAGACATATATTCAATAAGCTATATATATTAAGCACTGCCATAAATACATTTACTATGGACTATATATATGTTGCAAAAAGACCAAGAAAAAGAATAGGATTTGTAATACTATCCCACACTGTAGATATTCAGAAATGGA